TTTCGGACATATCTTGAGGTGTAAAGCATAGTTGCGACAGAGGATTAGTCTCAACCGTATCCACTTAACTGTCATAACTGTATCCACTCAATCAACGAACACAGGAAGGATTGGTGAGAAATTACATCGCAGTTCACCTCGGGCGTGGGGTGTGGTGACGAGGAATGAGGTCTGTCGTACTTGACACCAACCGATCTCTTCCAGATCCCTCTCAATGAATGAGTGAATAATCCATCCCAGGTATGATAAGGAGCCTAAGGTACTCGGCGATCATCACTTTCTAGGGGTATCGTGGAGGGTAATCAGCGTGCGACATTTGGTAAAACTTAGTGTTGTTTTTCGGTTATGCACATGCCTCCTGTCGTATATAGTTGAAAACCGCTCATTTGGTTGGTATGAGTTGAAGGAAACCCTCGGGTTAGAAACGGCACCAGCATGCCTAATAAATCCTCGACCGTGGCATTGGGTTGAATTGCTGGGACTTGACAAGCCTTTTTGTAGGGTCGGTCATAATTGCGAAATCGAAAGCTATCTGCGCATACTCGGACTATCCTACCATTACTTATGATTAAGGATCCCAGGTGGAATCCTAAACGTCAGGAAAATAAAACTCTTGTCCCAGTGGTTGCATCTTCTTCCTCTGTTAATGGTACCCGTCTGACGCTGGCGGAGATGACAACACGGGTTTCCTAATTTACAATTTCGTTTGTCCCAGATTCAAGCGTTCTCAATAGCTGGACCTCAAATCATTTTTTTGCGTCCAAGGGAGATAATTCGCAAGAAGTTGCAGTTCATAAATGACGCTCGGAATTATCCCCGCAAACATTACTTGGACTAGTAGTGATTGGTTCACCTCATAAGGGAAGCCAATGTGATGGTTGCATTAGCGGATATGTCCCGGCCACGTGTCATGTGACATGCCACGCTTCATCTTGCATTTTCGTGCTATTTCTCAGACAAACGCTCGCATAGTGTTTGACAACCGGCCTTGGAATTGCTATTTAGCATAAGAAAATGCCGGAAAGTTAGAGTTATTCTTTACACCATCTTCACTTATCTGACGAAGGTTTTTTGATTGGTAAATACTGCCAAAATTCGGATGTCCTGAGTTATTCTTCCAAATAATAAGATGGTTTCACGACGGGACTGAAGGCTCTCCTCACGGGACAATCTGTGAAATATTGGCGGTGACCAGTGGGGATAAGCAGGTCTGGATACTCGTTCCCGTCCTATGCCTTATGTCGTCTGCAATGCTGATGAGCACCTAGCATGAGAATCGGCGAGGTATCCACTTTAATTAACAAACAGAGTGAAAACTGTTCTATATCCGACACATGGCGACATCTATGTAAGTTTCCACAGTTAATTCTCATGACCTTCGGTTCGCGATGGACCAACGTGGAAAAGAACATGCAGTGAATGTGAATCCCATTGCCTTCGATTGCTTTAACTTCAGGCCGAGCATCAGCACGGAGAAGACGGTAGTCGTGCATCCACCGCAAACAAATAATTATCGAAACGCTCCCAGAACCAATATCAGTGTCACTCGCCTCATACAAATGAAATTACTTGCATGTTTGAGAGGCAACATCTAAAGAAATATCAAGATTGACGATGAAATTGCCGGTGGAACCTCAAGACGCATCTGGACCCTTGACCGTCTAAAAAAACTCCGCTAAGAAGAGCCGGGGTATCATCCTAAACACAAGTGCAGATGTATAGGGCTGGTGTCTTGATGATGGTTTTATTTGGGGGTATAGACGTCGAAGCCGAGCAAGGAAACAGTAATGTGTGCCTCAGCTACTCCCTTAGGATACTGAGTGCGAGGTGGCAGGAAAGAATCCTCGACACAACATTCACTCGATGTTGAGAAAGAAAACAACGACGGAGCGCCCAGGTCCTTTGGATGGACAACAAGCGTCTTTCCATGTGGCTGTTCTACGGCTACAATGTCCCCCTGATGATCTCCTTTAAACACATGCAAATCAACTTTGTAGATTGAGGTGAACTCCCTCATGATGTGGGCCTAACAGGCTGTCGTAAAAATTAAATAGTCGTTTCGAAGGTAACCGAATAGATGCAGTCAAAGTAGAAAGAGAGGCTTGCAATACGAAAGCATCACGAAATAAAGACACATGTATCGGACCTCTAATATTGTGCCCCCTTAGTCAACGGATATTCCGGACCCCGTACATATGAAAGATGCAACGGCCCGGCTGTAATCATTCTGAGCTCGGTGAACCCGACAGTTCGACCGTCTTTTTCGACGATGTCCACCAGGAATTTCAGCAAGCTGTAGACAAATGCAATGACTCACGCGGGATTATAGTGAAATCAGCTAATCAGCCCCTCCACACAAGTAGACACACATTAGACTGATCGCACGGTCCGAGTTATCCCGTCAGTCGGCAACCCTCTAAGCCATGGCTTTTAGCGCACCGTGATAGCTTCAAGCGCGTCAGATAGCCGATAGTGAGGAAGAGAAGGCGCTGAGGTTCGACCTCACTCCCTGCCCCACTGCCAGCATCAAGCCATCGCCAAGCTGATCCGTCGCCTGATGGGGAATGGGCGTAGTGGCTGACAGAAAGGCAGACCCGACTGCGCGAGTCACTGCACAACCTGGCTCCACTGACACACATACACCAGGTTTGGCGTTTCTCTACTGTGTACTGAGAAATTGCCTGAGCAAGAGAATCAGTCACGTGGGAAGTGCCGGGCCCAGCGACAACTCGGACGACAGCGAGCATAATTTCCGCGCAATTTTCAGGCCCTCATCCAACGCAGACAAGGAAATCGCGGCAATTAATGAATCGAACACGAAGTGTCAAGCCACCACCGCACCAATTAAGACCCCAAGCGGTGACTACAGGAGACGGACAGATAATTATAGTACGCATGTGGATGACCGCCAGGAACTATAAATACCGTGCAATTTGTGCATGTTTCACCCTTATCAGCGCATGGCTCCGATTATCCTACCATTGCCTATGATTAAGGATTCCCGACGGAATCCGGAGCGTCAGAGAAATAAAACTCTTGTTCCAGAGCTCGCATCTTCTTCTGAACTGCTTCCCGGAACTCGCATATTCACTTCTATTCACACATAACTTCTTCAGAATGCAAATGATCCACTTTCCCGGCGCTAGTGTGGTGGACCAAACGTTTCCTCGTCAGATGATGCATTCTTCGTCTGGGCAGGAAGCAAGTACTGTATTATAGGCTGGCACTTTAAATTTGAGACCACATTGTATGTAGAAGGCCTGTTTGGTGCGTTGGTAACTGCGCATTGCGTCCACTTTGACATAGTATTCTTATTGGAGTATGGTGGACGAACAAGGCGATAGTGGAGAGGACGTCGCACACTTTTGCCTCACTACATTTTCATTTAGGGATATGTTACCGTTGCTGGCCCCACTCCGTTGGACGCGGTCGTTTGCGGCTATCGATCTGTAGTGTGTGTGAAGTTCACAAAACTAAGGAGGTTTTATAGTCGTTCTTCTGCGCCAGTCATCTTAATCTTTGAAAGACTTGTGGACTCCAGGCGCCTGTTGCAATGTTGCGCCTCTTACGCCTACTGACCGGCTATTACCTATCACTGGCTGGTTCACGACTGTCCGAACTGGCGAATCGACTCAAAGACAGATTCAGACATGTTCTCGCTCAATGCGCTCTGATGCATCGTACATTACCACTTCGGACTCCTGCTCTCGTGGCGCCGGGCAGTCGCCTTCCTTCGGCTGTCAGCTCGTTCCAACCTGTTCTCCAATTTCTTTGTGCAGACTGCATGCAACTTCTCCCAGGCCTGAAGGTCGTACTGACTACGGTCTGCCTACGAGTTAAACTGCTGCGACGGATTTGCTTTTATCGAGATACCAACAAAGGCTAGGGAAACTGGCATCACCGGCAAGCCATACAAAATCCCAGATATGGATTGTCTGGGATTCGAACCCGAGATCTTTGCTTACATTCTAACACCCTACCATTGATTTCACGACCGTTCTGTCCTGACGGTTCTACTCGGGGCTATAAATCATGATAGTGTGGAGTTCTCCGATCGTGTTACGGGACATGCACGTTCCGTTGTGCCTTCTCAGGCAGTCTTATTGCCACTCGTAGCATATGCCAAGACTGGGCTACCGACGTAGACAAGAAAGACCGAAATGACCATTTTGTTTTATCAGCCGCAATCAGTCAGCCATAGTCAACTCCAGTTGTGGTTCATTCGAAATTCGAGCCGATATTTTTGGCTATTGACATTAACACACCACGGGCCCATTACCTTGTGAGGACAAGTATGTCCTATTGGTTAGCGCCACATTAGTGCAAGTCTTGATGCTATTTGTAACTGACGTCCGCCATAGTGTCGCCGGCTAATAAAAAATCGTTTCCTTTACAGCGCTAAGGTGACATATTTGGCAAGCCAGCCGATATAGCGACCTATTATTATTTCATTTTGATGTCACGTGGAAGTAACACTCAATACTTAAGTCCAAAGTTCAGGACGGTGTCTGGCAGTTCCATTTTGGCTTCAATATTCGCAGCCGCAAAACGAGAAGCGAGCAATTACGA